CGTGGATGCGCACTGCTGAGGAGTCCCATACTAGGACGAAACGGCCATCCAGTGCTTCCAGGTTTTCCATGGTGGTCTAGCTTCAATCGATTCATGATTTCAACCTGTGAAATTTCATATAATTATATCAAATAACTTCTATATTCAAAATAATACTTAACTATTCCATTGAAGATCAAATTAGTACCAATTATGTAATATCATTATTTATTATTAAAATAAATGATACATTTGTATTATCCCGATGAGAATGAGTACTGCTGAAGAATCTCATACAAGGACGAAATAACTATCTAGTGCTTGTTGGTTTGTAGATGATAGTTTAGATAATATCAACTTAGGATTTAATGTATTATGTGATAAACAAACAAAGTCACCCCTCTCTATTTTATAACATTCTTTTCAATAAACATAAGAAATTTATGAAATATTAATCATATTCACTTGGTATTGTTTGGCTTGTATCTTTTCATTGAGGTTTAAGACTGCAACTGATCAGTCTGTTATTGACATATGTGCATACTGTGCGTATGCCTCGATATTGCCTTAGTTTACAAGCATTATAAGCAAAGATGGATAGGGGCTAGCAGTGGAAACCAGGACGCGCGTTTCGTCCTGTTTGGGACTCGTCAGCTGGATGTACCTGCCTCTTAGGGTTGATGTTCACTCTGGGACTCGAACTCAGTACCTTTCGCTCCAAACGCCATCGCGTTATCCACTTAGCTACTGAGTACTGATAGCCACTTGCTTGTGCAATGTGGTTAAGTTTAATTCACTTGGTATTGTTTTACTTGTATCTTTCCATTGAGGTTTTATGACTGAAATTGATCAGTCTGTTATTGACATATGTGCATACTGTGCGTATGCCTCGATATTGCCTTAATTTATAAGCTTTTTGTAAGCAATGATAACTAGTGGCTAGCAGTGGAAACCAGGACGCGCATTTCGTCCTGTTTGGGACTCGTCAGCTGGATGTACCTGCATCTCAGGGTTGATGTTCACTCTGGGATTCCACTACTAGCCACTATCCATCATTGATTAATCATATTGATTATATACTGTAGTTCATTTTACATATCCTCTCCTGATGTAATAATATTTACGGGGACTCTAATAAACTTTAAACCAGAGGAATTTCTTTATAATGGTCAATTATATAAAATTATTGTAAAACACTAATCTATAAAGGAAGAATAGTTTTTTCCAGAAATTCTCTTTAGGTTCTACAATCCATATATTTGAATTATTAATGTGGAAAAATGGTCTAGATTAAGGGTATAGTGCATCGTTTAAAGCATGTGAAGTTAAGATTATCAAACAAAATATAATATATTCACTTGATGTTGTTTGTTTGCATCTTCCCATTGTTATTTAGGACTGTAATTCATCAGTCTCTTATTGAGATATGGCTTTAAGTAACAAGCTTTATAAGCAAAGATGGGTGGTGGCTAGTAGTGGAATCCTATTTGGGACTGGTCAGCTGAATGTACCTATATCTCAGATATGATGTTCACTGCGGGACTCGAACCCAGTGCTGTTCTCTATAAAATAAAGTTGTTAAAGTTTATATGACTCATATAGAATGTTAACTTGAATTAACTTACATGTTAAGTGAAACTTTCAAGATCTATGATCAGAATAAATAAAGGTTGGATAGGCTGAGAGAAATAATAGTGCAATTACAATTCGATCGAATGTTTAGTGGAAGGCAGTATTGTGTGAAAAATTAGTAAGATATAATAAGGAGGGATGAATGCGAAGTGAATGAATCATGTATAGGGGAGATTATTAATGATGTTTAACCAATAGTAATAACAACAGTAATAATAATAATACAAAGATTTGTGAATAAAGATAACAGAGAGAATTACATTTATTGAGATCATAAACCGATTGGTGTTAGACCACCATTGAAAACGTGGAAGCACTGCACGGCTGTGTCTTCTTATTGTGTGACTCCTCAGAAGTGCGTATCCACGATCTCGCTCGCTGGATTCGTAGATTGGTTGAGGTTAGACATTAACACCGTTAGATGCAGGCCGGCTCAGTGGTCTAATAGGTTGAGCGCTCGCGCGCGAGACTGAAGGCAGTGAATTGGAATCCCGCTAGCGGGATCGTGGATACGCACTTCCGAGGAGTCCCATACTAGAACGGAACGTCTGTCCAGTGCTTCCAGTTTTTCAATGGTGGTCTCGGTTCATGATCTCAACCAATAACTTACTAATCCCCACAACTCTATACTGACAATTACGTTTGACTACGAAATGTCGTAAGTACAGCAGTCAAATTAGGTCATTCAATAGTTAAGATTACCATTGATTAGTTGGCCTTGAGGTTGAACAGGAGAGAAGAAACGTTTGAAGATATTTCTTTTGTACACATGGCTCCAGTTTCTTCATCCGGGTGGTTACTGCTTCAACCGTTTGAAGGACTTTAAGTCTGATAAGCTTTGGCAAAAAATTACCGACCTGATAAATAATTGAAAAGGTTTGGTTTATACTGGTACTATAGCCAGCTTGCACAAAATGGGCCAATATCGAGCTGTTCACTTTCTTGACTTGACGTTTGCTTAGCTACACTAGGAAGTGCTCACGAACACGAAAATGTAAATTCCTAGAACTTCGACCAATATAACTTGTTCCACTAGAGCAGTTGCACTGATAAATAAAATATGAGATGATCATCCTAGATAATTCATCTTTTAGCTTCGGTTACAACATTGTGCGCGTAGAAAACACTAATCGTAGTTCTCCGATGTTAAAAGATTTTTGTATTGTCCTGTATATTCTCTGAGTTGATATTTCGCTAGCCACATCCCCTCTGCATTATGGACACATAAACATGGATTTCTTATTCACTGTTTATATTTTGCTCATTCTCACCTTTGTGATCACATAGTTAATTAGGAACTTTCTAGGCTAACCATTCTCCGTAAGAGTATTACACATGATGTTTAGCTCTTCTTCAACTATAGACAGTAGAACATCATATAGTGCATATTTGATAACTAAGAATTTTGATCAGGTTTCATTTGTACTGTAAAGGTATGAAGCTAACGAAATGCAGATACTACTCAGTCCAGGTATCGTGGATGCGCACTGCTGAGTAGTCACATACTAGGACGAAATGGTCGTCCAGTGATTCCAGATTTTTCATTGTGGTCTAGCTTCAACTGATTCATGATTCCAATCACTAAAACTTCTAAAATCTCCACAAAACCCTTTCTGATAATAATCATCTACTCATTAGTGGCTGACTTCAAGAGATACTCCTGGAGTTCTAGTGAGAAGTCGTTACCAGTGGAGTTTAACCGAGTCTGTTGTGAGATATCAACTCACTAAAGACAATGATATACGGTGGTGCAACTTCGTGGATTGGTTGAAGTTAGACATTAACACCGTTGGATGCTGGCCGGCTCAGTGGTCTAGTTAGTTAAGCGCTTGTCACAAGACTGATAGGTCCTGGGTTCAAATCTCGCTAGTGGCAATGTCGTGGATGCTCACTGCTGAGGAGTCCCGTACTAGGACGAAACGGCCGTCCAGTGCTTCCAGGTTTTTCATGGTGGTCTAGCTTCAATTGACTCATGATTTCAATCAGTGAAATATCTTTCTTCTGTTTAAATTCCTTTTTTGTTTTCACGTAAATGTAATTAAAACTTCACTGTCAGATTCACTGTTTCTAATGATGATTTAAACTTAAATCATAAATCTATAATAGAAACATAAAAAGAGCTTCATGTCGTTACTACCATCTCTCCAGGGTTACATTGATTCATTTATGTAATTTGATTTATAACCATTCATGATAGAAATATCATCATGATCATACACCAATAGTGATGATAGTAGTTAAGATAGTTCTAGTTTAAGCTGTCTATGTAATAAGATGAAATTCTTCTAAGGTGGTATAATATTAGAATCAAATTATTTATGACTTTCTCCTAATATTAGTTATCTATTTAATGATTTACAAATTCTCAATGTTCATAATTTAGTTTTAATTATTTCAACATATAAAGATTGATACAAGAGGGTACCAAATAGACATGGGCTACATTTTGTTATTCGATTTCTCTGACGGCTGAGATATTGTCCCGGTGTTCAAACTAAAGAAGGTGGCTTTCTTACGGGGTAACACCACAAGCCATTGACCTAAGCATTTAATCTATAAGACAGTGGAGTGACGTAAGGAAATATAGTCCTATGGTAGCCAGTGACCATCGATAGGTTCCTACGCAATTTGTTCCCTTAGAATCGTGGAGCCCATGTGCATCATTGGTTTGGAATGAGTATTTTTTCCAACTCCTCTAGGTGGATTCTCCATATTCACCAACTCGGTTAAAGCACCAGACATTCATTTTTCATCCTCTCAACTTTGTAAACAACATCTTCGTTGCCAGAGGTCAGTGAGTAGGATTTCTCTGACAGTGGTTGTATACACGTGGTGGTGTGAGAGCATTTGGAGAAAAAGAGATGACTCTCCCCACTCTTGGCTGTAACATGGCATTTGGGAGGTAAATTGTGGTTTTCTGGCACAAAATTAATATCAGAAGGGGTTTTATGGATGTTATAGTAATTTTAATACTTGAGATCATGATTCATTTGAAGCTAGACCACCATGTGTCACTCAATTTCATGGATTAGTTGAAGTCAGACATTAACACCATTGGATGCCAGCTCAATGGTTTAATGGTTGAGCTTTCGTATGCAAGACTGATAGGATATACGTTGCCAAGGATTCCCACAATAGGCCGAAACAGCCATCTAGTGCTTCCAGGTTTATCATGATAGTCTTAGAAGAACACAATTCAAACCGAAGCAGATGGTTTTCTTACAAGGTCACACCACAAACCATTGACCTAAATATCTAACCTATAAGATAGTGGAATAACATAAAGAGATAATACAAACTATAAACCAAAGACATATTTAGCACTATTCATTGTATTGATATTATTTCTCTTTTTTTTCTTATTTTAATTCTTTTCTTTATTTAATTAGGCTGTGAATCAAATCTTGCTCGTGTACTTTTATTTTCAACAATCGGTATTCTTCTTACATTACTTTTCATCTTTTTTCTATGTTCAATAATTCAAATTTGGTAAGTCATTTTATGTTGCAAGTTTAAATGTTATTTTTATGCGTTCATATTTATGTAAATTGTCAAATCTATTTGTCGTTGTCGTCGTTGTTGTTGTTGCCGTTGTTGCTGACGTCTCTGTTGTCGCCGTCGTCGTTGTTGTTGTTGTCGTGTAAACAACCACTGTTATAGAAATCCTACTCACTGCCCTCTCGAAACGGGGGTGTTGTTTACGAAATTGAGAGGACGAAAAGTGAATGTCCGATGCTTCAACCGAGTTGGTGGATGTGGAGAATAGTTCATGAGAACGGTGGTCAATGTAATTGATGCAAAATTGTTTTATGCGTTAGTTTTAAATTACCATGTATAGAGTACTTCTTAATAAGTATTTTACATTTTGTGAAAGTTATTACTAAGTTTATAGTATTTAAACAGAACCAATGGTGAATTATTGACCAGTATTGTAGTTTGGTTTATTTATATAAATGAGAGATTCATTTATCCATCATATATTGAATCCACAAATAATTTTGCTTATATTGTATTTATACTACTTATATCTAACCAAATAAGTAGTATATAACACCAATCAAAAGTTAAATAGTTGAAAATAGAAGAATAAAAAGATCTAATTAAAGTGAGTAGAAGAAGAAATAGAAAGAAATTCTGAGTTGGAAGAAGCATTCATAATATAAAAGACAAGTGATGGAAATTTACAAATGAAGTATTCAATGTATGATTTTTATAATACTTAATTACTTAATTACGCCTGTTACTCCTCGTGGAGGAGCATAGGCCGATCACCAGCATTCTCCATCCATCCCAGTCCTGGCTAATCCATTCAACTTGCTATTCATCCTTTTCATATTTGCTTACGATTCCCGACGTAATGTGTTCATCGGTCTTCCTCTTTTCTGTTTCCCTTCACAGTTCCAAGTTAACGCTTGCTTCGTGATGCAGTTTGATGATTTCCATAATGTATATCTTATCCACTTCCATCGTCTTTTCCTAATTTCCTCTTCATCTGGAAGCTGGTTTGTCCTCTCCCACAATAGGTTATTGTTGGTGATCTCCGGCTAATGTATGTTGAGTATCTTGCGAAGACAACTGTTTATAAATAGTTGTACCATCTTATATGTTACCGAGATATTCTATAATTTTCAATTGAATAATAAGCTGGTTATCTTCATTTGAGTGTTTGTTCATTACACTACTTCTCATTATATATGTATATGTATTAAATTTTATTTTTCAGTTATAAAAAGCGACAGTCATCAAACAGAACATGTTCATCAGTAGTGGTAAAATCAACAGTTTCGAAACAAGATAATCCAGTAAGTAAGAGTCTCCCCCCCCCATCTCCCATTAAATAACAATTTCATTATATATATATATATAATTAGTGTTGAGACGTTAGTTACAAAATGAACGATGAATGGTTATCACCTGTTTCTTTTTTTCTTGTCGTTAAGAGAGTTTCATTGAACTGTGAATGTTTATAATAAAATGGAGGGAAGTTTTAGCATTAGATGGTATGTTAGTTGCTATGCTTTAGATTAGTTTCATTGGATTGTTGAAGAAACTAGTAGTTTTCTGATCATCTCATGGTTTTCATCAGAAACTAGAGTACATTGGACAAATATTTTGTTAGGGAATTTTTAATGAGTTTATACCATGCATGAATGACATCTCAAGAGATTAGGGTCATGATTCTTGATGTTCAATCTTTATTCAATGGTGATATTAGTTCGTTATGAAAATTATTGTCCCAATATCATGTCCTCACTAGTGCTTAAGTTTGAGACGTAGAACTCTTGATTAAGTGATTTTGACTGTATCAGGTGTATGGCGGTCACCAACCAATGACATTGGCAAACAGTTACACAATATCGTGAGTTGACTGAAATATAAGACGTTATTCGTTGTATTACAACAAGACAATCTAAAGATTAAGCACTCACTAAGAAACCTGAAGGTTCTGGGTTTGATTCTCTGTGAGTTCATAGACGCTTATAACCGAAAATTCCCATACAAGGATGAAACAATTGTCCAATGCTAGCTTACTTTCACTGGTTGTTTGACTGCGATCAATTCCATGATGCCATTCAACGGTGTTAATGTCTAATTTCAATCGATTCATGGTCTTGTGCAATTGTCTGACACCCAACTCGACTGGTCACGGCTTCTCACTAGAACTCCGGAAAACCCATGTCGAAGATAGGCACTAGTAAGCACATGATTACTATTAGTATGGGGGTTTGTAGAGATTGTAGTAATTTCAACAGTTGAGTTCATTAGTCAACTTAAGCTAGACCAACATTGAAAGCCTGGAGACATTGGATGGTCGTTTCGTCCTAGTATACGAATTCTGAATGGTGCATATCCAGGACTCCGCATAGAGAACTTGAAACCAAGACCTTTGGTCTCATGAGTTAGCACTTAACATCCAGACCGATAAAACACCAACCAATGGTGTTACTGTTTAACTTAAATCTATCCATGATCTTGTGTGAGGAGAATAACTGTCTCACACCCAACATGGATCGCATGCGGGTCGTGGACACACTGTTGAAGAGTTCTGTACTAAGACGAAACGGCCATCCAGTGCTTTCAAGTTTCCAATGATGGTCCAGCTTAAATCAACTCTTCTGTCTTTTTCCGGTTTTCGTACTACAAAAGTGTTTATTATTCAATAGACTTCTTAACCTTTTTAGTGTAATCTTTTTTTCTTCACATAATATCATTTCTACTATACAATAACATAACAAACATCTTGTTACTAACCGTAAAGACTTAAAACACTTGATAATGATACCTTCTACAATAACTTTTCACAAGGTGAATACCACTTAAAACTATTTGTTGAAATTTTTCAGAGATTGAAATCATGAGTCAATTGAAGCTACACCACCATGGAAAACCTGGAAGCACTGGACGGCTGTTTCGTCTCATACTCCGCGGGATCGTGAATGCACACTGCTGAGGCGTCCCATACTAGAACAAAACGGCCGTCCAGTGCTTCCAGATTTTTCATGGTGGTCTAACTTCAATTGACTCATGATTTCAACCAGTGAAATTTCTAAAATCTCCACAAAACCCCTTTTGATAAAACGATTGAAAGTCATTCAATTTTATCTTAACTAATTCATTTGGATAGTTTAAAGTCAAGGGCACCAAATACATATGCGCCACACCATATTTATGTGTATGGGCTGTGATACTACCCGTGTGCCTAGATCAAAGCAGGTGGTTTTCTTAGGGGGCCACACACCCACAGGATACTGGAGCTCATGTGTACCATTGGTTTGGGATCCGGTTAAAGCGCCGGACATTCGCTTTTCGTCCTCTCATTTTCGTAAACAATACCCCCGCCACGAGAAGGCAGTGAGTAGGACTTCCCTGGAAGAGGCTGTATACACGTGGCTGTGTAAGAGCATTTCGAGAGAGAGGACGGACCCACCCCACTCTCGGCCATACCAGAGCATTTGAGGGCATAGTTTAAAGTCACTAAAAATGACTTTGACATTATTTATCTGCCTTTACATTTGTATACTCTTAATTCATATTATTATTATTATCATTATTTGTAGGAAAATATTCCACATAAATTGAATCAACATCCAATCAATTTATCATTACCTAAACAGAATTATTCAAAACTATCTAAAATATATCTTAATCCATTATTTGATACAGATATAACTAAAGCATATTCAATGAATAGTAAAACTAATCCTACGGATATAAGCTCACAAAGTACAATGAACGAGAATTCTAAACGTCATCGTCATCAGCAGCAGCAGCATCATCATATTCTTTCTAATCAACAGTTTCCCATTACAAACATAAAACATAATTGTACGAATTATATTGATCCTTCAACATATATATCATCAATATCAACTATGAATAAAACTGATCTAAAAATGATCGATCATTCAAATATTCATAAAAATTTATCAATATCATCGATTATTGATTTCATTGAAAATTCTTCAATATTATCTGATTCTTTAATTAATTATTCTGATAATTTATCACATATAATGAAACAATCAATAAATCAATTAGATCATTCTAAGATCAATAATATAAATCATATAGAATCTATGGGAACTTCTTTATTACATAATATACCAATAATAAGTGAATTTAATGATGATAAATCTATTGATCCAATAAATGATCACACTCATTTACCGAATACTTATACAAGTTCTAATGGTTCAAATCAATATAATTTATCATTAATTGATCTATATCAATCAAATTATATACCATGTTCAAATATAGACTCAATCATTCATCATATACCATTCATGACTAACTTATCCCATGATAATAATAATAATGATAATGTTATATTCAATTTGAATAATACTAATGACATGACAAATAATACAGAATGTTTAAATCATTGCCATTGTTCAACATTCAATAAACTAAGTAATACAGAAAATGTGTTACATAACTCATTAATATGGAATCATTCAAATAATAATGATCATCATCATGATCATGATCATGATCACCATCATAACACAATGATGAATGCATCCTCATTATCAAATAAGTCTTGTCAACAATGTTTATTACATCATCATCCTCATCATTGTAACCATGGCTACCAAATAAATCAATATGAATATTCTAAAAATTCTCCAATACAATTAGATTTCAATTCAATGACAAATACTTCTAAGAGTTGTTAATTTATCTAATTGAAAATGAGAATTTTTTAAAAAAATGTTTTTTTCTTTTTTTTCTTCTTTTTTCAAGCTTTACTCTCACTTTTGTTGTTGTTGTGGTGGTGGTGGTTTATACATTTTTTGAGTATTCATTATTACTATGTGAATTATGTACAATGATTTATAATGTACGCACAGAAAATACAAATCATCAACATCAAGTGGTCTTTATCACTATGACTATTTACTTATTTATTCATCACATATCAACTAATCTAAATGAACAATATCTTTTACTTTCTTATATAAGAAAGTGTAATAATAGTAATAATAATAAAGAAATAATAGATGATAGTTCAATGGTTCCTGATATTACCTCCTCCCTACCCAACCACCACAACTCTTACCCCCTTAGAAAAAAAAGTGTCCAAAAAAAGAACATTTTGAAGGCTAAATTTATAATATAAAAAAAAAACTAAACAAATTGCATGTGAACTGTTCCAATGACTTTGAATCATGTCGTCATTTTAATCCGAATTGTATATAAAGATAATTGTTTTCTGTCGTAAGGGGGAGAGGTGATGGTGAATGATATGATATTCTCTTTTTCTTTCTCTTATTCTCTCTGTCTCTGTCTCTCACACACATACACACATTTATCGCTTTCAACCTACTATATTGATATACCTATACCTTTTTTTTCCAGCTTCTCATCTATTAAAAGATAGACATTTAAAAAGACAACAAAACTGATAGGAATCATAAACTGCAATAAATTTGTTCATTATGATGCTTATACAATCCAAGGAGACTGATATAAACTACTTCATTGACAGATGGAATACACAAGAAAATCGACAAAAACAACAACAACAACAACACCAAAAAAAATTCACACATTCCTTTATACAATATTCAATATTCAAAGATCCTTTCAAAAACAAAAACAGAATAAGAACCAAACAAACAAACAAAACAATCAATGAGATATCATTCTAATTTTAAATGGTTCACAATCTTTTTTCTCTGTTCAATTTCCAATATTGTTGTTGTTTTTTTCTTTTCATAATTATTTAGCTCTTGTTTGTTTGTTTTTTCTCTTTTTTGTTTTTTCTCTGTTTGTTTTTTTTGTTACATCAAATCAAAGTGAAGGTAACTATTATCACTAGGATTATTTCCGATGGATAATGATCATCAATGATATGTGATTACTTATGACATAATAAGAAATAGTTTCATTTGTACAGTTGGCTTTATTCCAAATATACATACATATATATATGAACAGAACAACAGAACAATTTATATATATATATATATATAATGTGAAAAGAATTAATGAATAAATCAACATAATTATTTTTTCAATCAAAATATATGTATCTATGCTTTTGTTTCCATAGAAAAAAAACACTTTTGTGTGTGTGTTTGAATGTTCAATATGAGGAGGTAATTTGGCGAGACTCTAATTTATGGGTGAGCCGATCAAAAGCGTTTTAGAGATTTCCAAGTCACACCATCAACTTCAGTACTTAATGCTAATGTACGATTGGTTCACAGGAGATTCTATGCAAAATGTGACAATTAAGAGGCTAGAACAAATGAAACGGCGAGACTATAATTTGTGGACCAATCAATCAGGTATAAGATAATAAATCTCGGATTTTAACACGAAAGCCTTTCATCCAGTTGGCTAGATAAATTTCTGGCATTATAGTTGATGTCAGTTCGTGATGAAAACCACATATATAATTCCTAGCTAAGACAAATTATGACAATTATTGCGAACTGGATAATAAAAGCACCAGTAACACTGGCTACAGCCAGGTACTACAATATATACGATGTTTGGAGAGCGTACGGACTTCTACATAGGCTTGATTATGTGCATCGTGTCGTTATCCAAAAGTGGGATTTTGTGGACTCAACAACCGGAGTGCACACAAACAATATTGAAGCTATGTGGTCGAGGCTGAAAGAGGTTTTGAGACTTAATCATGGCTCCAGAGGCCGACTATTCTGTAGCTGTATGGATGATTTCCTCTACTGCATGCATTACGATTTTAGAACCTCTGGACCTCTTTCTAACCTTGAAAAGTTTTTGAACCACGTATAAGAAGTGTATCCACTTTACTTCCTTCGTTTTGTATAACATATTTTTACTCTATACTGACTGTTTGCTGATTCGCTAATATTTCTGAAGGTCGCTTAAGATTCGTTCAAAGGTCGTCCATAAATTAGTTTCGCCGGTAATTTTAGTTAGACAACATGTAAGTTTAAAAATGGAAGGTCAGTGAATGGATATCATCTAGTAGTGTGTAAATAGCTGTAAATTCTGAAGATTATAGATTTCATTCATGATAGTGTCATGAGTATACATTATAGAAGAGTATCAAACAAGGAGAATAAAATTATTTGGTGCTTTAGGATCTATAACTTGTTACAATCTGTGCTCTGTGTCCTAATAATTTATCATGTAATGATATCGTCAATTAGAGAAGAGTGAATTATCGACCAGACCAATGACGCATAAACCAATATAAGCAGTCTAGAGTCTTTATCAGTCCTGCTTTCTGCCTGTTAAGTTTAGAACACCAATCTCAGCCTCTACAATATGAATCGTATATTTTAAATATATTGGGTTTATATGCAAATCAAACAGACCGCATCATACCATAAAATAGAAAACAACATTTGTATAAGATTTAACAAAAGTGGCTGTGAATGTGGGAGGTAATAACTGATCGACTGGGTGGGCATAAGTCAAGAATGGTAAATGGTATAATAACAGTTCATAGATCAAACTAAAGCTCATGGGATGAGGAATACGAATATGAATGGTTTAGCTACTTAACAATTATACAATAAAATATATGTATAGTATTACCACAGAAATAGATTCCAACAGTTACTATCCATTATTCTCGTCGCGACGTAACATAACGATAGTCTAGATAATTGTAGTTCGTTAGGTAAACTATCATGTTATTAAATTATATCCAAAAATCTTAAATCCTAATAATGAAGCTATTTGTTGCTATCACGATAATGTGTTAATAACATCCAGTGGTGGTTAAAATAATTAATCCTCGCACAACATTTGTGTACTAATCAAGGTTCATTGATGTCGTTCCTCTAACTTTGGTTGCTGAGATGAAACTGTGTTCATTTTCAAGCGGCCAACGAAAAACCAGTCGTCAGTTGTGGAAAACGATATGCTTATCGAAACGTGAATTTAAACAAGTCCTTACGCAGGATTATTTTACCACAGACTTTCAGTGAGTATCATTGACATGGGTCTACCAGTGCATAATAATACCAAACAATGTTAAGTAAGTCAGAACATTAGATCACCAATTTATGACACACCATTTTCTGATTATTGCTTATGTCCATCGTCAAAAAGGTATAAGTATTTATAAACGATTGTCTACGCTAGACACTTAATATCCGTTGGCCAGATACCATCAGCAACAACCTACTATAGAAAAGACAAAGCAACTTCCAGTTGGAGAGGAATTTAGGAAAAGACTTTGAAAGTGGATAAAACGTACATTACATAAATCATAGAACGGCATCATGAGGCAAGACCTTACTTTGAATACTGAAGGAAAACGGAAAAGAGGAGGGTCGATGAACACACTACGTCGAGAATCAGAAGCAGACCTGAAAAGGATGAATAGTGACAGGAAACAACTGGAAAGAATCGACACAGATAGAGTTGGATGAAGAATACTGGTGAGCGGTCCATGCTCCTCGACAAGGCTTAACTGGTATAAGTAACTAAGTTGTTCTTCTAAGTGGACAATACTAGTTAGAGGTACTCAGTTAGGTGTCATGACTAAATTACCATAGGGACAAGTATGGGACGCGTATCTTCTCTCAGACAGTCAGTGCGGAAGTCTTACATTTCTGTACCTTTAATTAAAACTCAAAATAAAACTCTTCCCAACTGTCATCCGCATTTGTCTTCAAGATGATTCTTCTAATATAAATTCGGTGAAATGTTCTGCTACCAAAATGGCTGGAAATGCGCCTCAAAATTACCACAGCATGCTGTGCAAGAAAGGCATTTTTGTCACACTTAACATAAGACTCTGGATCAGATAGTACCAAAACTTCAGTGTTTTTTCAACATAGGAGGCCTCCAAATTAAAATTACCTAGGTTGTATGTGTAGTTTACAAGATTCCTCAAATGGAGTACTTCACACTTTGGGATGTTGAAAGTAAATCTGTTGCTATTCATTCAACTTTGAAGAGTCGGGTCCTACCGATGTCCTGGCTTGTTATCACTAAGGTTCGAGATCATCAGAGAGCAGTCACATATAAAATGAAATAGAGAGGAGGGCCTAGTAATGAACCCTGGGGAACGACACTAAGGCATTTTGTAGCCTGAGAAAAAAGTCAATAATTTTGATATGACCTTAACCGGTCTATAAATGCTGACTTCACACCTACCAGCTTGAGCTTATCGATGAGACATGGAGAGAGAGCCATTGAGAAATCCAAGAATGTCGTATCCACCTACTACAACCGTGGGAAATTGTTAACTATTGTATATCGGGGATTTTGATGCTAACGAATGACGTTCTAACGTCAAGTTGATTGAAAGTTTATTGCATTGACCCCATTTGAGATCTTCCAGGATGTGTGCCAGCCTGCACTTGTCTTGAATCACGCCATAGCTAGTATGCGTTAGACAATTACATTGATTAGTATTGACAGTAGCAGTATAGCTTAATGAAGCATATCCAAATTAGAAGTATCCTTACTTAAATCCGACAATTTTCAGTACACTAGCACCGCTCTTAGGTTCACTTCTGAGACTCCTGTCGAGTTGCGTATGGAGCACTCTTCGATAAGCGACAGTCAAAATGCCTGGCATTTCTGTCTATCAGAAACCCTCTGTTGGTTGTGCTATAAGCGCTCGAAAACTGGGAAATTTAGACCTTAGCTTGTCCAAGAGAGGTTACGTGGCGAAATAAGTTTTTCAGATTAGAGACATATTTGTCAATCAACTGGATACGATTCAATTTTAGTAGCTATGTTGAATCATTCTCCATATTTCCACGAAAATGGTAACCATTACTAAACAAACGCACGTTTAAGCGACATTGAGTATGTAATT